TTGAGAAGCTAAAAAAAGAAGGCAACTGGACTTCTTTAGGTTTGTGATGTGTTTTCTGTGTTGAGTTTGTCATTACTCAGTTTAACTGAGTGAGGGTCCACCGAGTGCTTATAGCACAAAGTGACCCCAGATCTCCTAACAGAGGTCAGCTGAAACCCTGTTAGCCTGCTGAACAGTGGACCGTATTAAAAATGTCTCGGGGAGTCAGGAGAGTTGTACCCGTGATTTCTCCTGATGTTTTAACTACATATAAATGTTGAGGTTAACACTTACAGTCTTAGGTTTCAAAACCAGCTGGTAACGCTACAACATAAGATGGACTTTGCAGTACTAATGCTGCAAACACTAAAAACTTGGATTCTGTGGAGAACATGAAGACGCTGATGGATTCTCACACAAACACACGTTGGTGCTGTTTGAGTTGACACTTTTATAAATATAAGCTGTGAAGCTATCAAGGAAAAGAAGCATGCTTTTTCAATTATTCCGCTCTTGTGAAAAGGAACATTTATTATCACGCCCTCGCCTCCTCGCTTTTCATGGCCTTTTAATTTAAAAACCGTAAAATTAAACTGATCTGTGAAGTTAAATTGAAAAAGTAAACAACCTCACTGGCTTCCTTTATATCTTCGCTTTGTTCTATTTTCTATATACACCCAGAGTCAACTCAGCATTTCGGCTCGTAGTCTTATCGCCGATATACAACCCGTGTAAAATGATGGAGAGGCCAGGATAGAGGGGTGTGATTACATCTTTAATGGAGCCAGAGACAGTGGTGAAAGCCTCCATCTGTATGCAGGGGAGTCCACAGTGCCTGTGCAACATTTAGACTCTGAACAAAAAGAGTCAACAAGAAGCCAGATGAATGGAGGCAGGAGAACAACAACCTATGGGGGGAAATTGCTGTAGGATGAAACCACACACGCACACACTAACAGTCTCAAGGGAGAAAACGGCCTCCACAATCTGGTGAAATTTAATTACCGACATGATAAGACTTTCAAATGTGGAGTGACTAATGCAGGAATTTGGGCCAGTAAGTGCCCTTGCCAAAAATTGGTATTTTGTTCAATGACATTATCTGAGGCACGTGCTTAACCTCTCACTTTGACTTTGTACAAAAAAATAAGGCTTCAGTTCTTTTGAAAATATTCATAGCCAGGCCCTCGAGTATTTTTTCACACAGAGGATAGAGGCTGACTCACAAATATGAAGGGAACATAGTCAGGTCTCATTATAGTTGTGCTGAAAGGAAGAAAACTTCCATGCAGATGCTTATTTGCCCAAACACACACATGGGCAAACACTTACGCACATGAACACACACGCTCAATCCTCTAGGTAATAAAAAAAATGACATCTTCCATTTTTTTCTCCTCCTAACACAGTGACAAAGACGAATCTGTCAGTGCACGAAGACAAACACAGAGTTCCTTATGTGAAGGTGAGTCACCTACAGACGCCATTCAGTTTGCATTTTTCTCTATTATAAAGATGCTGTTTTTGTTGTTCATGAGTGTAAGAATAGATCAGCGTGAGAAGATTGACATGTCTGAGACTGACAGCCAGCAGCTTGCTAGTTTTCCCAGTTCTGGCTTAATCAAATGATAAGAAAATAAAGTTATCTGCTCACCTAGGGCTCTATAATGCATCATCACACCTAACTTTACTGTGTTTGTGGAAATGACTGCGCTCTGGTTGATCTCGCTCAAAAGCTGGAGGCAGTCAACATGGAAAAGCCTCAAAAAAAGAAGGAAAAACAAACAAATAGAATTTTTATGTAGGTACAGAGGAACAACGCTGACTTTTTCTACTGTTTCCTGACATGATTGAGAGTGTTGTCAATGTTCTCATCTAAGCTGTCTTAGTCCACGTTAAAGAAACCACAATTATTAATACTGGCTCTGCGCTCATGATGATCTGTTGTATGTTTAGCTAATATTTGTGCATATTACTGAACGTATATTTGATTTCCTGCTTCTCTAAGGGCTGCACTGAGCGCTTTGTCACAAGTCCCGAGGAGGTGATGGATGTGATAGATGAGGGGAAGGCCAACCGTCACGTTGCTGTCACCAGTGAGTCACACTGTTGATCTTCCTGATGTTGTGACACTCACTCCGTCAGACTTTTTTTCCCCCTTCAAAGTTTCAAGATTAATGTGCAAAGGGGAGAAATGCATGGCGAGGTATGAAGTGAAGACTTGAACTAAATTGAATGAACTTTTGTTTGTTCTTTAGATATGAATGAGCATAGTTCCCGCAGTCACAGCATCTTCCTGATTAACATCAAACAAGAAAACGTGGAGACTGAGCAGAAGCTGAGTGGGAAGTTATATCTGGTTGACCTAGCTGGCAGTGAGAAGGTAGGAAGAATGGGGATTTTTCTTTCAAAAACATTAAAAGGAGGGCTATAAACTCCAGACGTTTGCTGTTGACAGGGGTTTGAAACACTGGGGGCTTTGAAATTGTGTTTTCAGACATCAAAGAAGCTGATGAACAATGCATTAAAGCTACTAAACCTGAATCTTTATTGCTTTGGATTGCTCTGATTTTTAAAAATTCCACTTTATAGAAAAGTTCAGAGGCTGAGAGCTGATTCCTAATCTGTAGGGTTGTTTCAGTCTGTCGCAGATGCATTATCAGGGTTACTGTTTATTCTGAAAAATAACAAGTGCTAAATGGAGCTTTCAGACAAGATAAACATCAAACTGATGGGAATCAAAGAACAACAAATTCATTCCACTTTTAAAGGTCTTCTAGGTGAAATCTGAGTCATCTCAGCCCCATCACACTATCTATAAAACAATCTATCACCGGGACATAGGTCAAACGCTGGAAAATACATTAGAGGCACCACTAAACCTGGCTCTTGGCTCCTTGTGTTGATAGTATTGGTAGAAAACTTAGAGCGTTAGATTGCAGTAGAGTCTGGATAGATGTTGATGTCTGTGGTTTGTAGCTGATAAGTGCTGATAGTGCATCTGTAAGTTGTCTTGGTCCTCCCTGGGGCTCAATAAGTAAAAGGCTCTACTCCAGCAGCTTTTTAGGCTTTGGTACAAACCGTCATTGACTGGACTGAACAGGAGCCTGACGTTTGGTCCACAGAAACCTTTGATAGGACGACTTGCTCTCCTCTGTAATTAAGCTCCTCATTATTTTGCCGTAAATAATTGCATCCCATGGCGATTATGACAGAATAGCGTGTGCCTTTCCTTTCAAAGTGTGGAAACCTTCTGGGCTTGTCAGTGTTTCTGTCTGTTAGCAATTAGCTGTGCATGCACAAATTCTTCATTCTGATGCTGTGTAAGTGCTTTTTATTGCAGTTTTATTGCAAGACGGATTTCTAATAATTATTTCTGTGTATTTCTTTAAAATAACAGTTACATTTGGACAAATGTACTCATATTTGATTTTTTTTATTATTTCAAACTTGATTTTTCTACAGTTTGTTGAGCTGCATGCTGCCATTTGACATTTTCGACATGCAAAATGTCAATTATTGCAACAATTCACTGAAACAAATGAACTGAAAATGCACAGAGTGAACCCTCTCACTGCTAAATTACACCACAGTGTCAGTGCCACCAGGAAAATAAACATAATTTCCCTGCTGATAATGTTCTTTACGGACTAATTCCTCCTGTCTGCGGGTGTATGTGTGTCAGGTCAGTAAGACAGGCGCCGAGGGAGCGGTGCTGGATGAGGCTAAGAACATCAATAAATCTCTGTCGGCCCTGGGGAACGTCATCTCAGCGCTGGCTGAAGGAACGGTACGGTGGAGATTTGTTCCAAGGTCTATCATTAGCTTCATGTTGTTTAAACATTTTTTCCCCAAACCTGCAGTGAATTAGCTGAAAGTATTAGATCAAAACAACCTAAATTTCACAAATTAGGTAA